GTTTTTCAGCAGCGCAGACCACTCTCCCCCTTTCTTCTTGCACGGGTGCGTCACAATACTGTACACACACAGGGAGTAGACCCGCTGAATGGAGCTAAGCTCGCCGTGCCCTTAATTTCCAATGGGTATACTCTTGAGTAGGACTAACTTTCGCTGCAACCCTCAGGAGCTTATATCTTGTGCCAGGGCGCTGAGTCCGCGGTGAAAGTGCCGGCATTAGCTACGGAAAACATACAGACGGTCATCGCAATAATTAACAAACAACAACGCCAACACGTGATGCTCTGAAACAAAGTAACGTGTGTATATATCGGAGGGGGGGGGAGTATTTTTTTTTTTGCCTGTTCGGTGGTTGTGCCAAAAGGAGTTGCATAATTTGCAGGAAGGACCTGCAAAATGATGATTTGTTTTCTTTTAACTGGGCGAAATAATTTCACGTGCAATATGGCAAACTTTTCTTAATGCTGTCTCTAAAGGCCTGGCGGGTTTTCGATCTGGTGGGATGCAGTTTGGGGCTGGTTGGATGAAGGGAGAATTGAAGGGGAGGGGCGAGGAAAGCGATTTTGCAACAAGGAAAGAAGTTGCAAATTCTTCCTGGCAGCACCGAGTCCTGGCTGCTCCAGGCCCCTCCCATTTTACCAGGGGAGGCGGGAGGGAGGGGGCTTTATGGGAATTGCTTCCTGGGCATTTGGGGAGGGGGCGGTTTTCAAGTAGGACCGGGGAGGGCTCAGCTGAAGGAGAAAGTGTGTTCCTTATCTAGTGGATTTTGCAGAAGATGCCTGACCTGGGCAGGAGGCAGCTGTGATGGGCAGAATATCAAGGAAACCGCAGATGCGTTTTAGATTTGCCCCCACATTAGATAAAGAACAATGGATTTCACATTAATGCTCCGATGCTCGACACGTTTTACAGTGGTACCTCGGGTTAAGTACTTAATTCCTTCCGGAGGTCCGTACTTAACCTGAAACTGTTCTTAACCTGAAGCACCACTTTAGCTAATGGGGCCCCCCGCTGTTGCCGGAGCACGATTTCTGTTCTCATCCTGAAGCAAAGTTCTTAACCTGAAGCACTATTTCTGGGTTAGCAGAGTCTGTAACCTGAAGCGTTTGTAACCCGAGGTACCACTGTATTTCATTTCATAAAATTTATACACCGCTTCATTGAAATACAGGCAAACAAACAAACCCACCTCAAAGTGGTTTGCAGCGGGAATAAAACAATACAGTGGTACCTCGGGTTACATACGCTTCAGGTTACATACGCTTCAGGTTACAGACTCTGCTAACCCAGAAATAGTGCTTCAGGTTAAGAACTTTGCTTCAGGATGAGAACTGAAATCGTGCTCCGGCGGCGTGGCAACAGCAGGAGGCCTCATTAGCTAAAGTGGTGCTTCAGGTTAAGAACAGTTTCAGGTTAAGTACAGACCTCCGAAACGAATTAAGTACTTAACCCGAGGTACCACTAAACAATTATCATAGCTGTCAACGTTTCCCGTTTTTAAACGGAAATTCCCTTATTCCGGATAGGATTCCTCACAAGAAAAGGGAAAAGTTGACAGCTATGACAATTATGGGTGAGAACAACTATTTAAAACATTCAACAATTTTAAATTGGCGATGAACTTAAACAAAAAAACCCAAAACAGGTACGTCGAAATTCTACCTAACCGGGTAGGCTTGCTTAAACCCAAAGGCTTTTAGCAGGCGCCAAGAAGAACAGAGCTATGTGAATTTTGAAAGATTTTCCTTTTCAAGAAAGCAGGCCTGGGATCGGAGCCTGATGTTAATGTCGAGGTTACAGGGTTTGGTTCCCTTTTTTATTGTGAAATGAAGGGCTGTTCATCCCTGAAAAAATAGCAACCCCCCCCCCCAGCTATTTGCCTCGCTGCCTCTAGGTAAAGGTAAAGGGACCCCTGACCATTAGGTCCAGTCGTGGCCGACTCTGGGGTTGTGGCGCTCATCTCGCTTTATTGGCTGAGGGAGCCGGCGTACAGCTTCCGGGTCATGTGGCCAGCATGACTAAGCCCCTTCTGGTGAACCAGAGCAGTGCATGGAAACGCCGTTTACCTTCCCGCCGGAGAGGTACCTGTTTATCTACTCGCACTTTGATGTGCTTTCGAACTGCTAGGCTGGCAGGAGCAGGGACCGAGCAACGGGAGCTCGCCCCGTCGCGGGATTCGAACCGCCAATCTTCTGATCGGCAAGTCCTAGGCTCTGTGGTTTAGACCACAGCACCACCCACATCCCTCTAGGGGGCAGCAAAAGCGCTACCTACTACTGTGCCTGCGGGGGACGGGAGACTACAGACTCGCTTCATCCAGTGCCAGATTTACGTATAAGCTAAACAAGCTATAGCTTAGGGCCCCACTCTCTTGGGGGCCCCAAAAAAATTCAAAGGGGGGAAAAACTGGGTGTACATTTCCAAAATATAAGATACAAAACAAATAAAACCTACATACAGCAACAGTGTTTTGTGTTAATGGGCCCAGCCTGCTAGCCTGCTCCCTAAAATATCACTGGTTTGCTTCTTCCTATATATAGGGTGCCTACAATCTGCATGGACTGGTTGCCTGGCAACATGGGCAAATGGCTTTAGATATCTAGGTAAGGTAAAGGGACCCCTGACCATTTGGTCCAGTCGTGACCGACTCTGAGGTTGCGGCGCTCATCTTGCTTTATTGGCCAAGGGAGCCGGCGTACAGCTTCCGGGTCATGTGGCCAGCACGACTAAGCCGCTTCTGGCGAACCAGAGCAGCGCACGGAAATGCCGTTTACCTTCCTGCCGGAGTGGTACCTTCCTGCAGGAGCAGGGACCGAACAAGCGGGGATTCAAACTACCGACCTTCTGATCGGCGAGTCCTAGGCTCTGTGGTTTAACCCACAGCGCCACCCGCATCCCTTTAGATATCTATTAGGCCCATAAATGACCACAGAGCTTATATTCAGCACACAAAACAGTGACAATTTCTTGCTGACAAAGGACCGCTGGACATATAAAGGGCCCTGTTACCTCCAGTAGCTTAGGGCCTCATCAAACCTAAATCCGGCCCTGGCTCCATCCAACCTTGAGAATTTGCCTGCCTGGTGGGATAAGGAGTGGAATAGAGAGAGGGGGCGTTGTAGCATCCAAAATGGGGGGGAGAGGGAGCGACCATTGGCCCCGTTCAGCTCTGTGTTGTCTTCACTACCCTCCAACCCTTTTTTTTTGGTGGGTTGGTTGATGGGTACATTTGGTGATCTAAGAAACTTCTTGGCACAACCTGTTCATGGGAAAGGGAGGATCCTGCTCTGCAATGGAGTGTATCAGTGCCTATCTATCAAAGCGGCTGCCCACCCCACCCAGGGGTCAACCCCCCCAATTGTTTGTCTATTCAGATGCTGAAGCCCCTGGCGGAGAAGCGTCGCCGCGACCGCATCAATCGGAGCCTGGAGGAGCTGCGCCTGCTGCTCCTGCAGAGGACCCACAGCCAGGTCAGTGAGGTGGTGCCCCCTTCAGCCAGCCTGCCCCCCGCTGCTCCCCACAGCCCCCCCCCATCCCATTCCCTGCAAGTCCTAGCCAGGACTTCTCCCTGAGAACGTAACCGCTGCCGTTTGGGATAGTTTCAGACCCGTGGGTCTGCGTCAACTTTGTGGCCTTCAGATTTCCCGAGGAGGCCTTAGCGTTAATTGAACCCCCTGAAAGTGCATTGAAGTGGATTGTGCGTTTATTTCTTCAACTGCCAGCAGGTGGAGCTATTGCTCTACATGACTCTGCTCTAAAAGGAAGGCTTTGCTTAAAAGGAATTGGCAGAGAAATAGGTGGCCCCGGAGACTTGATCAGGTATTCTCTACCGTTATTCCTGTCTTGTCTATCCTGTCCATGTTCCCCAAGAGTAAGTTGGCACTTGCGCAGTGATTTGCAAAATCCCTGTTGTTGGTTAGCAGCAGTGGATCCTGGGCGGGGTGGGGGGTCGGCGAGGGGAGAAGGATCTGCACGTGGGAGGTGTCCTTCACAGTCCCAGCCCTCCCTAGCATAGCTGTCAACCGTCCTTTATTTGGCGGGAAAGTCCCTTATCCCAGCGCTGTGTCCCGCTGCTGTCCCTTATTGATGATGTCCCTTAAATTTCCCGGGTTTCAAAGGAAGCAGCTCCTCTCCCTCCCTCCCTGCCGGCCAGGGAGGAGGGAGGCTCCAACTGTGTTGCTTGGCTGCGTTGCTCACCCAATAAGGAGTCTAAGAACGACTGGGGGGGTGGAGCTTGCATGCCTTGTGCCAATCAAATCGGCCGCGTTGCCTGGAGACTCGCCTTTGCTCAGCGCTTCCCAGCGGAGAGATGACGGTGGTTTTCCTTGCTGCATCCCCTTTGCCGGGTTGCTGCGCTGTGGGAACCACCGCTTGAGGCTTCATTTGGCTGCTGGCTGGGCTTTCTGCCTTTGGCTTGGAGGGGCTCAGAAGTTGAACATACCTGTATTCTGGAAAATCCCTTATTTTGGTTGCTGATCCCTTGTTTCCGAGGCTGCTGGTCCCTGATTTTCAAATCTGTAAGTTGACAGCTATGCTCCCTAGACCTGCCGATAGCTGAACCCGGGACTGTCAGCACGCTGATCCGTTGCTCTGCCCCCCAGCCATTGCCTAGCCCTATTCCCTGCAAAAGTTTCCCCTTCAGCCCCCTTCTTCTCGGGCCTCTTTCATTACAGACTCTGAAGAACCCCAAGGTGGAGAAAGCGGAGATCTTGGAGATTGCTGTAGGATACCTGCGGGAGATGAACGCAGCTAAACCCCAGGGTACAAATGACCTGCATGGTGGGTGTTGGGGGTGTGGGTGGCTATATCAGAGAGACCTGGGCAGGCCAGGTCTGTGAGAGTGTTTGAGTTGCTCAAATGCTTTGCTCCCTGTTCTTCAATGCATGGGGAGTCCCCATTCTCACCTTGCCAAAGCCAGAAATTTTTACACCTGCCCTCCATCCAGACAAGGATGCTCAGGAGGGACGGAGATGGGTGTGGCCTGGAGGAGGGAAGAGCTTAAGAGTCCCATGGGCCAGGTGGGGAGCCCAGAGGGCTGCAACCACCTCCTGAGTGTTTGGAATAGCGGACAGTAGGAGAGTACATATTGATTAAATATTATCCTTCCTCACTCACGCTAGTGAGTTAGTAGCAGAGTACATTCCCCAGTATATAGCATGAAGCTAGTTGGTTGATTCATTTGAATCTCTTTACTTAAGAGGGACGTGGGTGGTGCTGTGGGTTAAACTACAGAGCCTAGGGCTTGCCGATCAGAAGGTCGGCGGTTCGAATCCCCGCAACGGGGTGAGCTCCTGTTGCTCGGTCCCTGCTTCTGCCAACCTAGCAGTTTGAAAGCACGTCAAAGTGCAAGTAGATCAATAGGTATCACTCCAGCGGGAAGGTAAACGGCGTTTCCGTGCGCTGCTCTGGTTCGCCAGAAGCGGCTTAGTCATGCTGGCCACATGACCCAGAAGCTGTATGCTGGCTCCTTCGGTCAATAAAGCGAGATGAGCGCCGCAACCCCAGAGTCGGCCACGACTGGACCTAATGGTCAGGGGTCCCTTTACCTTTACTTAAGCAGTCCAATCTGGCTTTGTCCAGCTTGGGTTTGTTCCTGGCAAATTCCCCTTTTATCCCCTCTCGAAAAGAATAAAGGCACAACCGCCTTCTTTGAAAAGCAACGACAAGAAGCTTACTCAGCTCGCAGTAGGTTCCGTGAAGGCAGGCTTTAGCTGGGAATGACAGAAGAGAGTTTGAGTTCATCCAATATGGGAATGAGCCTGTGTGTTGCTGGCTGAGGGCCAGCAGACAGCAAAATACGCCAGTATCAGAAGTGAGCAGCGAAAGAGGAAGGTGGCTGCGTGTCTGGCCCTTTTACAGGGTCTCCTGGGGCCACGCCCATCTACCTGGCAGGGGGAGGATGCTCCAGACCAGATGTGACAGGAAGTCCTCCTGTCTGGAGCAACGTCCTCCTGTCTGCGTCCACTCTAGGCAAACAGGAAGTGTTGGACTTGACTGCTTAGGTTCCATCCACACTGAGCATCCCCTGGTTCTATGGACTCTAGAGCCACAGCCTTGCAGAGTTGAGATCTGACCCGACTCCCTGCAAGGCTGTGGAGGCCCACCTCCCTAGGGTTTGAGTGACCAGCCTTCTCCCTGGCTCCCCAATTCTGCCCCTCCAGGAGCCGACCCCTCGGAAGACGGGACCCTCCAGACCTGCTACATGATGGGCTTCGGGAGTGTCTCCTGGGCCTGGCCGCCTTCATCCAGCAAACCCACCCGTCCGTCCAAAGCCACCTGCTGGACACTTTGCACCTCTACCTAGCCTCCAAGCCGGAGCCCCAGAGCCAAGACTGGACCCTCGCCGTCTTCTCTCCTAGCCCTTCGCTGGAGGAATCGCCTCCCCGGACGCCCGAGGGCTTCTGCTCACCCGTCAAGGCGCTGAGCGAACCTTTGCGGAGCCCAGACCCCGCTTGCTCCAGCGCGGGCCAACAGAGACACAGCCGAGACGCCCCTCAGCCAAGAGGATCCTGGCGCCTCCGTCGGCTTTCTGGAGGCCTTGGCCCTAGAGCACAAACACTCCTGCCCCCCACCCCCCTGCCCCAAACATTTATGTATGTAAATATATATATATATATATTATCTAATAAAACCTTTGTGATGGGATCACACTGCCGGGTGACTTCACGAGGGGATGGAGACGTCACCTTACTGCCTCAAATGTAGCGCTCTCCTCTGAGAAAGGGAGATGGTTTCTTAGGGACTAGTAGCTTGGGCCTTCACCTAGCCACTCTGCTAGCATTTACACATCTAGAAATGAGGTTTCATAGTTGGAAGGGACCCAGAGGGTCATTTTTGTGTGTGTGGTTTTTTTTTTGTTTTTACCCTCAACCAGCGGTTTGCAAATTGGGACTCCCAAGAGGACTTTGCAGGTAAGTGAAGAGTGGTCTGAGGGCTGCAACCTTTCCTGGCACTGAGATGCTCTGCGGTGGGTGGGGGAAAAGTTAGGACTCCCATCAGATTTCTCCCAGCTCTGGAGCTGAGCTGCTGAAGCGGAAGAGCCTGTTTAAGGAAAGTCTTTTGCAAGTTGCAACCTGACGGGTAAGACCCAAAAGGAGCCGATCGGCTGCTTTGCTCAATTCTCAGTATCCTGGTCTTGCACAGGTAAGACATTGTTGTCTTGCGTAGGTAAGATGTCTTGTGGCAAATGATCGTGGCCCAAGCAGGGTGCTTGTACAGAATGAATGGGAAACTCGGGGTCTTCCAGGACCCCCCAATTCCCATCACCCCCAAGACCACATGCCCCACTACCTAGGACTCGTGACACAGGTTTTTCAGCCCTGTTTGCACCCTGTTAGGGTCTGTGGAGTGGAAGGGACTGTCTCTTAATGTAATAAGCCAGAAATCTGATTTTCACGTACCTGCATAAACACCCCGTCTCCTGTAGAATTTTAATATTTTTTTGCTTTTGGATGTGTGTGTGAGTGGCTGAGTGTGCGCTTGGATTACCAAGCCTGTGTCATTTGCAAACGTTTCATGACATGCCTGTTTGAAATCAAAACAAGTAATTTCCCCCCATTTAGGATCGTTTTAAAAAAATATCTTTAATTTCTTTTTTTTTCTTTTTCTCCAAACTTTCAGGTATTATTATTATAAATAATATTTCCCCCCCCTCAGTTATGGCTTGTATTGGGGTGTTTTTGGTTGCTTGTTTAAATAGTTCCTTGTGTTGAAATCTATATGCACCATGTAATAAAAATGTATTTCTTTTAAAAACATGGAGTGGGACTCATTCCTTTCTAGGGTTCTCCAGAAAATTTCCAAGGCGTACATTTCCTCCCCCACGGAAAGGAAGACACATACGTATCAATAACTGTATAACAAGAAGTATTTATGTCTGAATCATTTCTGCATGCTTTTTTTTTAGTGTACTTTTGGTGAAGTACAGTGGTACCTCGGGTTACATACGCTTCAGGTTGCATACGCTTCAGGTTACAGACTCCGCTAACCCAGAAATATTGCCTCAGGTTAAGAACTTTGCTTCAGGATGAGAACAGAAATCGGGCTCCGGCGGAGCGGCAGCAGCAGGAGGCCCCATTAGCTAAAGTGGTGCTTCAGGTTAAGAACAGTTTCAGGTTAAGAACGGACCTCTGGAACGAATTAAGTACTTAACCTGAGGTACCACTGTAGTGTGATGGAGAGGACTACTTCACCCAGAGTCTCTCCCTCATAATACAGGCAGCCTCCCCCCCCCCAAAAAAAAAATATTTATGCACGTTCAATATGTGTGTGACTGTATATTTGCATTATGCCAAGCTCAGAAGTGACCCAGAAACATTATAAAGAAATCACTGAAATGTCACTAAAAGGGCAGGGCAAAAAAGTATATTTAAAAATCCACTTCTCTTCTGACTCCTGGACAGTTAAACCCACAACCTGAGAATATCAGTCTACACATCAGAGAGATACAAAAGTTAGCTGATAGGTTAAAGCCGGGGTTCTCAAAGGGTGTAGCAAGTGTGGCAGGACAATCAAAGCAACATTTAAACATTTAGTGCAGTATAGTATTAAGATCAGGGACGCGGGTGGCGCTGTGGTCTAAACCACAGAGCCTAGGGCTTGCCGATTGGAAGGTTGGCGGTTCGAATCCCCGCGATGGGTTGAGCTCCCGTTGCTCGGTCCCAGCTCCTGCCAACCTAGCAGTTCGAAAGCACGTCAAAGTGCAAGTAGATAAATGGGTACCACTCCAGCGGGAAGGTAAACGGCGTTTCCGTGCGCTGCTCTGGTTCGCCAGAAGCGGCATAGTCATGCTGGCCACGTGACCCGGAAGCTGTACGCCGGCTCCCTCGGCCAATAAAGCGAGATGAGTGCCGCAACCCCAGAGTCGGTCATGACTGGACCTAATGGTCAGGGGTCCCTTTAGTATTAAGACCAGAAAAGAGAACGGCTTCTTTGTGTGGATGAGGAAATGAGTGTCTCAATTTAGACCTACCGTATTTTTTGCTCTATAAGACGCACCAGACCACAAGACGCACCTAGTTTTTGGAGGAGGAAAACAAGAAAAAAAATATTCTGAATCTCAGGAGCCGGAACAGCAAGAGGGATCGCTGCGCAGTGAAAGCAGCAATCCCTCTTGCTGTTCTGGCTCCTGGGATAGCTGCGCAGCCTGCATTCGCTCCATAAGACGCACACACATTTCCCCTTACTTTTTAGGAGGGAAAAAGTGAGTCTTACAGAGCAAAAAATACGGTAATATAAATGAGATTACTTGGCAAAAGCAAGCTCACACCTCTCACTGAGTTTGTATACATACTTAAGGTCCATGTGTAATAGGCTCGTCCATAATTATATTTGGGGAATGATTCACGTTGCCAGTGCTTTTTTTCTGGGGGGGGGCGACGCAGGGGTACACATACCCCTAAACATTTTGTGAATCTAAGTTGGGCCTTATGGAGGCATTTCAATATGCGTAGGAAAATGAGAGTGCCTCTAAACATTTTTTTTAAGAAAAAAAGCACTGCGTGTTGCTATGTAGCATACTTTCTGGAGGTCCCACAATCGTATCATAAAGTTGTTGTGTTCTCTTATAAATCAAGCACCGCTGCTGGTTGTTGCTTCTTCTCGTTTTCCAACGGATCAGTAGAAAATTCAGCGTGGCGTGAGCAAATTTTTATTCAGAAAGTGTGGCCCCGAGAAAAAAGCTTGAGAGCCACTGAGTTAAAGCTGCAGGGAATGTGGATGTCCCGCACACTATTGATCATAACCCCTTGCAAACATCTCTTCTGCAAGCCGAGTTGCTCCCAAACTTCCAAGAAGCATAGCCATTGAATTTTCAAATTACAGTGGTACCTCGGGTTACAGAAGCTTCAGGTTATGGACTCTGTTAACCCAGAAATAGTACCTCGGGTTAAGAACTTTGCTTCAAGATGAGAACAGAAATTGCGTGGCAGCAGAGGGAGGCCCCATTAGCTAAAGTGATGCTTCAGGTTAAGAACAGTTTGAGGTTAAGAATGGACCTTCGGAACGAATTAAGTACTTAACCTGAGGTACCACTGTAAAACAACAAATTTTCCACAAATCTTAACTGAACAATTTATATATCCATATTTCTCCCCTCTCTTTGGCTTCCCCTGTATTTCCGTATTGATTTATTAAACAAATTCTGTACCCTGCTGATTTTACCTCTTATATAGTTGTGAAAGTTTAGTCAAAACTTGCCAATGGGTCCAAATCTTTAAACTGCCTTTTTACAGAGTTTATAAGTGGTTCCCACTCCTTTTTGAAATCGATGTTCCCTCTCTCATGTATCCTCCCTGTCAGCTTAGCCAGTTCCGTGTAGTCCATAAGCCTGGCTTGCCATTCTTCCTTTGTGGGTGTTTTCTCTGTTTTCCATACTTGTGCTAATAAGATTCTTGCTGCTGTTAAATAAACAACCTCCAATTTCCCTCTCTTATATCATGATCCAAAATTCCGAGCAGGAAAGATTCTGGTTTTTTAACAAAGGGTTTTTTCCAACATTTTTTTCAATTCATTATATATCATTTCCCAATATCCTTTAACCTTCTTGCATTCCTGTCACCTCTTTCCACCCCCCACCCGGCGCATCGTGCAAACCCCAGACCTGTTTTGAATCCAGATCGTGGATCTGTAACCACCTACTGACGACCGCACCTCTAGCAATGCGTTCAGAGCCCGAAATAAATCAATAAGAAAGAACTACCACAGCTTAATTTACATTTTTTATTATTATTAACAACTTGCACATCATGCGCTTTCCCGCAAAGGTAAAGGGGACCGACGGTTGCCAGAGGATTTGTACACGAGGGGATCCACTCTGGGGGAAATCCCTACTAAGAAAATATAGCTGTGATGGCCGGAAGGGGGTTAAGTCCTGGGTTCGGATCCTGCTCCCCTCCTTCTTATAGTCCAGAGGGAAGTAAACCTTCTCACCTGTCAGCACCTAAGTGTGAAGCTTTGGAGTGGGGCGTTTAGCACAGAGGAGCATTGTGTGTTTGCAAACGCACATCTCCCTCTCTCGCACACTTGGCACATGCTGTGTGAATTAAATCAGCTGGGCAGGGTGTGTGAGAGAGATAATGGATTCCATTCTTCTTATCGTGGGGGATTTTAATAAAGATCAGGCTTACTAGTTGCTTTGCTTCTCAATATTCTCTGGTTGGCCTCTGTTATTTTCTCCTACCGATAGGGAACCCACGTAAGGACTCTATACGGGCTCTTGGATACCCCATAAGGGGAAAAGGGCAGATTTTGTTTACAACAGATGTGGTGAAAAGGGAGACAGGAACTGGAACAGTTTAATCCCACCTGGAAGGGGAGTGTCAGCCAGCAGAGTGAAGAAATTCACGGCCAGAGCTCTTGTGGGTGTAAAGGACAAGCTAGTCCTACAAATCTAATGCTAATGGGATTTGACGACTGTTTCTTATCTACTGTCCTGGAGAGAGGGAGATTGGGAAAGTCAGGTGGCGGCAAAAGGGGCAGAAATAATCCCCACCTTCCTCTTTGTAAACTGGTCAAACGGTATCCTGCCTCCACAATTCCTGCAAGAAGCAGCGGTAAATCCAGAACACCATTTTGCATCTTTTAAAATAATAATAATAATAATAATAATAATAATAATAATAATGACAACAACATAACTGCAACTACCCACACATATATCAAAGCGCAAACGTTCCTGTAAAGGCTGCTATTCTGACAGAATCCTAATTCAGGAAGACCCTAGAAAAGAAAAAGTGTGTTTATGTGGGATACAGACCCGGCCCACTCCCTCTTTTAGGAGGAATCACACCTGTCCCTGACGACAGCATCAGCCTTGTGATTTTCCATTCCCCTGTTCTCCTGGGGTGAGTGGCTAGGGAACTCTAGGCGAGCAAAATACCACACAGTGTATTGGCGAGAGCTCTGGGAACTCCCCTTTCCAGGAGGAAGAGAGGGAAACACAAGAACAGTTGCATTAGCAACACAACATGGAATCAGAAATGCACCCACATACACACAAGGATGAACTTGCAGCTCTCCAGATGTTGGTGGACTCCATCTCCCATCAGACACCCACCAACGTGTCTGATGGTCAGGGATGATGGGATTTGTAGTCCAGGACCATTTGGAGCACAACAGGCTCCCCATATCATTTGGGACTGAAAACTGAGCTCCTAGAAGTTCAAATCCACACCACATGGGTTGTTGTATTCTCTGGAGATATCAATATTTTGGTCTTCATGGGGTTTGCTATTTCTACAGAGGAACCCCCCAAAGGCTTGGCAAGGACCAGTTCACCCAACCATTCTGGCGGCAGAGGAATTGCCACCTTTCCCAGAGGAACAAAGATCCTATAAAATGCAAGCTGGCAATCAGTTAATTGTGCATCTGGGAATGAACCTTTGCCACACAAGTAATGTTTTCAGGAGGTGGCAAACGGTGACTTCATCCCAGGTGGGCAAGCTTTCGGAAAACTAATTTCCCCCACATGGATATCAAGGGAGGAAAGTCAACCTCACCCAAACCTTTCTCACATTTCATGCTAAAATCAGCCGGGAGGCTCTCTAAGCAACCCTATACATGTCTTCTCAGAAGTTGGGTCCAACGGGGCTTCATCCCAGACCTAGGATGGAGGCCTTCGTAGGCCTCAGGAGCGAAGATTCCTTTCGCCCCTCAAAATGGCTGCCAGAACGTTCTCCCATTCCCCATTCACGCCGTGCTGGCAATGTAGGCGCAGAGGGCGTCTCGGACCCTCTCGGACCTGGCCGCCGGCTTGA